CAAAAGGCTGAACATAGCAAATTGCCATGGGAAATCTTCCAACACAATTGCATTCTACCATGGTCCTATGGCAGTGAAGACCTTCAACTTCAAGGATTCCGGAGGGCTTTATACCTATGAGTAAATTTCAAATTAGGTATCCAGTTTTTTACACTTTCCTATAACAGGTAGTCCTCAACAGTTTGTTTAATGATCGTTCAAAGTTACAATGGCACTGAAAAAAGTGAGTTATGACTGTTTTTTACACGACCGTTGCAACATCCCCGTGGTCACATGATCAAAATTCACCTGCTTGGCAATTCATTCATTTTATGACAGTCGCTGTATCCTGGGGTCATGGGATCCCCTTCTGCAACTGTGTGACAAGCTAAGTCAATAAGGAAATCAGATTCACTTAACAATTTGTTGTTTATCAACTACAGTGACCTACTTAACTGCGGCAAGAAAGGTCATAAAATGGGGGGAACTCTCAGAAATTATGGGATCAATTGTGGTCGTACGTTGAGGATTACCTGTATAATCGTATGTATGAATCATATTTAATGTCTACATAAGTCTGAAGAGCAGCACTGTACTTCTATTCCAGGTGTACTGTTATTGTTATTTACTTTAGTCCTATGGACTAACAGGTGTACCAAACTATATTTTTTCCATATAGCATACCTAGCAGCTGTAAGCACAGGCTAATTATGCATCAGGATGGGCCAGATTTCATTCCACAGACTTGTATCAGTAGGAAAAACAGTAAAGGGAATAGAGATAGGACAGGAAGCATCCTGAGCTTCCTGTCCTATCCCTACCATTCAGGTAGAAAAACTGACTCACAATACAGTTAGAAACAAGTTGGACTACTGGTTTGCAGGGCTTCAGCAGCGGCAGGAATCCGCGATCGTGCGCGGTTTCTGCTTGCGCTCGCTGCTGGAGTGCCCCGAGCCAGCCGGCTTCGGGGCTATAGTTACCCCGTAGAGGTGACTGAAGATAGGGGAGACCCGGCAGGGGTCAAGGGGAATCGCACCTCCCCTCCTCAGCTGGCTTAACTCCGTTTTCCGAAAGCGGTAAGAGCGGCGGTCAGAAATGGCTGCCACAAAGAAACACTCATCTGGAAAAATATGTGCAGGAGGGAGCTGAGAAGTGAAAGTTTCAGCTGACCGGGTTGATAAGCAATATTTAAGATATCCTGGAATTTAAATTTTGGAAAAGGATACATCATTCCCAAAGAAGATCTGGAAGCAGTGAATGAAAGTGAAAAGGGAAAGTTTGTTTTTTCTCACTCTCCCTCCTTATGGTGACAGCAGATGAATGAGAAATTGGAAAAACCCGCTTTGGCATCAGTAGGTAATTAAACTGGAAAATTAAAGCCAAGGGGACAATAAAGATTTCTGAACACTGAAAAAACCTTTTTTTTTGCTGTAAGTGGGAAGGGAGAGGAAAAGAATTAAGACTAAGATTTGGCTGGAGGAGACTGCTTGGAATTTAAAAGACTAGAGCTAAACTGTAATAAGACTTCTAAAAGATACATTTTAATTGGAACTTTGTAACCGAATTGTAGCCCCAGGAAGAGAAAGTGAAAAAAGAAAAAAAAGTATTAAATGAAACAGCCTGTGTGTATTTGGACTGCTTGATGTCTTTGGGACTCTTGGAAATTATTATTTGAATGATTAAAAACATTTGGGTTGTTTAAAAAAATTTCTACAATAGCATTACTTGTGGGTGAACTGAAAATGGAATTTAAAAAAATATAAAGAAGAGGAACAAGAAGGGAAGGGCTCTTTTGGCTCAGTTTTTCATTTTTTAGAAATGGTGATTTCTACTTATGAGAAACTACAAGAACAAAAAGATCGGGATGAAGAAGAAGCCATCTTTAATGAACAAGCAACTTTATCTGGGGAAGAAAGGGGAAAGGGGGGAAAGAGAATGGAGAATTTAAGACTTAAAAAAAACAACCAAAAAAGGGAAAAATAAGGTGAAAAGTGGACACAATGTCAGAAAGCAACAGAAAAGAGGAATACAGAAGAGGGTGGAGATCAAGAGACAAGGGGGTAAAAGGGGTAGAGTGGAGAAGCAAGGGAGGAAGGAAGGGAAGAGAAGCTACAAAGATTTGAAACAAGATGTAAAGAAACAGGATTTATGTAGAGATAATGGGTAAAAATATAATTGAAAAAGAGATTCTGCAAAGGTACATAAGATTGTATTGTATTTGTATTAGAAATGTTAGAAAATTGGAACAACACGATTATAAAATGGGATAAAATATTCAATATAATTCAGTGAAATTTTCTTATTTTTTGAACAAGATAAATGAAATGAAATATGAGAGAATTGAATTAAGAAGAAATGGGAACATCTTAATTACATGTCTTAAAATATAGTGAAATGGGGTGGAAGTAACTACGTAAAATTTATAAGTGTTCCCATAGAAACATGATACCTATTTGAAAAGGAATGTGTAAAATGCTCAAGATTTAAATGAATATTAATTTTAATGACAGAGTTTAATTGGTATGGATTATTGTTTTAATTATATTATATATTTATAATTTTTTCTTATTTTAAAATATAGTGCGTAGCTTTAGAATGTACTAAGCAGAATCCGAATGAAAATTATGCATTATTTTAAGTGTTAAATTTAGGGAAAAGAAATAAAGGTGTCATACTCCAATCGGTGATTACAGGAGAAATTTTGTGTTAATGAGAAAAGATAATAGACAGCTGAAACAGGACAGACAAAGGATATAAGTACAATGATTTAAATTGAGATGAAATAAATAAAATAGAATTAAGAGAGTGAAAAGAGGGGAGAAGCTATATAGAAAATGTAGAATGGTAATAAGATATGGAATGGAATATAAAAATGAGCATGAACTTCAATTTATGTCTGTGCAAAAAGATGTAACCCGGGATCAAGCTGCTTTCCAAAAAGATGTTTTATGTTTTCATGTTTTGTGTTTTGTTTGTATATGTTTGTCGTTTAAAAATTAATAAAATTTTTGGAAAAAAAAATACAGTTAGGAACAAGCAGAAAGTTTGCTTTGACCCAAAGCAAATTGCAACAGCAGCTACTTATGGATATCTAAACTGAGCAATAGCATCAATCAGGACTTGGGAGAGGAAATGAAATGAGGGATTAATATTGAGGAAGAAAAGTCCACCACAACTCTTAAATGCTAACTATATATAACCAAATTACCTGCACACCTCTGTGGGCCTAGAAACTAGGAATGAACAGCTTTGAAAAAGGGGTCTCTACAGAGGACACAACTGTTTGCAGGTAGTGTCTTATTGCCCTCTAGTGGTTATTTGCATGAGCTAACTAATTTCTGGAAATGTGCTACTTGCTCTAAGGCAGGGATGTCACAGCCGCATCACATGACATATTGAGATTTTTTTTTTCCCCTTTACTAAACTGGGAATGGGCAGCATGTGATGCATCCAGCCCATAGCCCGGGAGTTTGACAGCACTGCTCTAAAGACTCCGAAAAGGTGTCTAAAGGAAATAAATACTTGAGGTGAGTGGTGTGAATGCATCCTGTATCCTCTTCATTGTGCATAATAAGTTTAAGCCAAAAGCATACAAAACGTTATTCACAAAAACCATCAAAGCCAGAATCCTACAAAAATCATTATTTCAGTTTTCAGTTATGAATCCATTCCCTATATATTGAATGTTGTAATAATTGAGAACTTAGATAAAATTAAATTCTGACTTTAGATCACAGCAGACAATTTCTGTTGTGTTGTGTTATTAAGATTTGAACCACAATGAACATACATGCAAAACTGCACTATGCAACTTGGAATGTCTTTGTCTTGAAAATCATTATTATGCAGTGAGAAAAAAAATCAGTGACACAACACATGTAACCAAGCAGAAGTTTAACATGTTGCGTTTCAACTTATCCAATAATTATTCTGTTCTTTTAAAAAACTAATAATAATAATTAGACATCATCTTTTCCTGAAAGAACATTCAAGTTTTTCTATAGGTAGAAAAAAATGTGCTGAAGATTTGATATATATCATGTTATCACTCTGGAAAATAAGAAACTAGCCTACTAAGCAGAATAAATTCCTAAATCATATACTAATTTCAGATATTTCCTTCTAGTAAAGATAACCATTTGACAGAGCACACTTTTAAAAATAAAGCTACATACAAGCCACTTTAAATTAAAGACTGAACTTCTAAGGAAGGTGCCTAAATATATTAGTTCAGTGCTGATTAAATTGTAGCATATTATTTAGTAATAACCTGACATCAATGTTGAAACATCCCAATGCAAATTACAAATAATTGCTAACCTTTCATTATACATCTCTGCAAATATCAGTGCAGAGGTATTTCCCACCCAAGAAAGAAGACTGTAACAACATACAATAGCGAAGTATGAGTCAATATACTGCCATAAAGAAGTACCTACATATTTGATAAGGAAACCAATTATCTTCTGCTAGGTTTATTCTTCTTGTTATCAAAGTTATTCAGTTAAAAGGATAACTGCTGAGAACAATACAGTGTGTCAGGCTACAGAACTTTTTCCATTCAATCAACAAGAATGAACTTCTGAAAACCAAAAGGAATCCTTTATTGAGATGAAGGATTCTTGTAGGGATTAAAAGCAGCATCTAACATGCCTCAGGCATGCAGGAATAGATAAGGGAGTTTAAGACCCCTCCCCTTCTCTTGATGTGTATTTAGTAAAACAAAGAGCCAACATGTTTATTCCCCCCTCCCTCTTCTAGGAACTATCTTTTTTGAGGTTCCCAGGAGACATCTCCCAGCAGGAATTTTTATGGTCTCTTCATCCTATGGCTGTCTCTCTCAGAGGTGACATGTTTCCAGGCATCTGGTTTCCGTCCCTCCATAGTATATCATGGGTTATCCAAATTCAGTATAAGATTTAATATATCCATGTTACATCAAAAAGGATTTCTTATACCAACTTTCCACCCCCACCTTCTTCTTCTATGAAGAATGGCAGATATATGGATCTGACACAATGTCATATTGTGTACAGAAGATGCAAATAACTACAAACAAGAGCATATCAGCAGAAATGATAAATATACATTTACACTAGGCAACATTTAAGTCTTGGGATTCGCAGCCAGTGCTGCCTAATGCTTCTGAACCAGCTCAGACAAAGCTGATTTAGCTATTTGTGGAGATGTGTGAACTAATTTTAGATGACTCCCTTACATTTAGCATCTGGGCATTACAAGACAAGGGGCTAATTATTAATGAGAGTAACCCTGCATAAACTTTGACAAACACACAAGAATTGTGAAACTTGATACATTTAAGCTATGGAGAAGTATAAATCTGCACATACAGTAAAACAAAGCTATTTTAGAAGATAAATTTACAGAGTTAATAAGAAGTCACATTAGTAATATTTGCATCATAAATGTCAAATATCAATATACTTTCCAATGTTTGTTCATAATCTTCCACTCCATTCACAACTGCAGAAAGTTCACAACTTATATACAAGAGGAAGCAAATGCTATAAGAATCAGTTAGGGAAATTTAAAATGATTCCATATATCAAGGAAATAACATGTTCTTTTTACTATCTTTTTACACATTAGTCATCTGACTAATACTTTGAAACCAATATCATAAAACGGATATAAAAAATTATAGAGATTTATAGCTGATAAAAAATGCAATTTAAAAAATTCACGTAAACACTCAACAGAGTGAGTGTTCAGAACTGTTAGATTTGTAAGTCTTTGTACAATGCAATAATAAATAATAATAGTAGTCCCAATAGTCACAGCTGCTTCCACAAGATCAACATCATGACTATATATGAAGTTTCACTTTTGAAGACAATACATTTGTTACTTCTTCAGTTTTGTTAAGTCTCTGCTTCATGCTTGGTTTCAAAATGTGACAATCAACCTGTAATCAAAAACATTTTATTCATAATTGTATTGCTTTTTGATTCAAGGTGACATACAAATTAAATTGAAATATAATAAAGCTAAAATGAAATATAATAAAGCTAAAGTAAGAATAAATCATTTTTAAAAGCAGACAATTAAAGTCATAGAAAAACCTATACTAGCATCTTCCGTATGTATTGAAATAGAATGGAAGCCAATGGAATTGGTGTGTGATTTACGTAATATTGTCAGCAATTGAGTTATTACCTTAGTTTACATTATTTACAACTTCACTGGCAGAACCATGTAGGATCCACAATAGTGGTCTACACGGGAGATGATTAAGACGAGGATCATGGTAGAAAGTTTTCCCTGAGTCTAGGAACAGTGCTACATGGGTACCAGCTAAAAAAGAGCAAAGGTTCGCTTAATAGAGCATCAAATCTATAGCCTAAAAAGAACAATTGATGAAGACGTTATAAAACCAATTTCTCAGAAGAGTTCAGTTCTTTTCAGAACAAGCAATATCTTCGGCCTATTAGTCTGTCTTCTGACAAACACCTTCAATTGGCCTGACTGAATCTCAGCTTATCAGCTTACTTCCATTCATCATAGCTTTCATACAGTGAGTGATAGCACTGATAAAGACAGGGTTGGTTATCACAAGCATTGTGATGGTGTCTAACACTAGAACTTTATATATCTGAAAATCAGGGGCCTTTGAATGCCAAAAGGACAAAAAGAAAGCTCCGAGGGACCACGAGCAAACCACAGTAATCAACTGAGAAAGGATTCAGCATCTTCTAAAAGCGCTCAGACAAATAGGACCAGAATCAATGCGAAATATTGCTCTCAAATCCTATATTGACCCAATTCCTAATTCCAGCTGTCATTTATTCATAAAAGCCAGACATAATCTGAATTGATGTAATTTATCACAGTTACAGTTGTCTACATCAAGCAATCTGTGATTAAAAAAAGTCTTTTACAAAGGCATTTCTCATATATATACAAGTAGCCCTTCCTTACAAACTGTCTCATTCAGCAACTATGGTGCCGTCATTCAATCATGTGATCACTATTAATCAGCACTGGAGTCTACACCTGACCTGTTCTTTTTCTCTCTCCCATCTCTTGCAGAGCAGAGATTGGAGAGAAGAGATTACAAGAGAGTAAGAGGAATATTCACTGAAATCCAGATGCTGAGGCTGACAGCCACTAGCATGCTATGTAAATACTTCAGTGTATTCCGCTTTGTGTGCTTTACTCTCTTTATAATCTCTTCCTCTCCAATCTCTCCACTCTGCAAGGCGTGGAAGGAAAGCAAGTGATTTGTGTAGGCAATCTCCCCTGGGCCTGACCCATCCGCTTACCCCCAACAGGGCAGAAAACCTGGAGAGGACAGGATAAAAAGGCACACAATGGGAAATACACCAAGCTGTTTGCACAGCACCCTTGCAGCTGCCAGCACAAGTGCATGGCTTTGAATGTGTATTTTCCATCGTGCACCTGCTTACTCTCTTGTAATCCTTTCTTCCCAATAAATATAAATATGTATAAATAAATATAAATACAAACATTAATTGCCTTCTTGTTAATGATCTCAGTGTCAGGGTGAGCATTCCGAAGACCAGAGAAGTGGTTAGGAGCAAATAAAAGCCGAAGGTGTGAAACCATTTAGTATTGTCAGCTTTGAGCTGGAAAGCACAGTTGAAGTTGTGTGATTTTCCACATAGCAACCACTTTGCTTAGCAAAAAAGTTGGCGGTCCCAATTGTGGTCATTAAATGATGGACTACCCGTATTAAACTTTACAGAGCATGTAAAAAGCTAGAGACAGGGAAAATTCAAGTCTCCTATTCGGAGCATTGTGAGAAAGTACAATAATTCTTGACTCTGAACTACCCTTCCAAATCACTCAAGAGCTCTGAACCCTCTATATATTCAAGGTTTCATGGGATACAATAAGAATACAATTCCAGCTGTGGTCATTAAGTTCTATCCCCATACTATCTATAGGGGTATTTATCTTGACTTTTCATCTCCAGAATATTTTCCTCTATAGGATTATTAATTTAATTCAATTTTTTTAAAAAAACTATTTAAGGAAAGAATGATATATATATATATATACATACCATTGGAGTATCTGGACTAGAAAATGGTGAAGCACCGTAAGAGCTGTTCTCTTTGTCAAATGAATCATCGCAACTGCTTTGTGATCCAAATTTCTCTTTAAGAGCTTCTGCTATTAAAGCTGCTGGATCCCACTGAGATGGCTTTACCTTATTTCTTTTGGGTAAAGGTGTACCTCCAGGAGATCTGGAGAAAGAAAAGCAGAACATTTGCAATTTCTAATGCAAGACATTGCTATTGAAAAATTAAACATGTGTTACATTTTCTAATCTGCTTTTGTTCTAATTTATTCAGCATCCTCCTTTCTAGAGGTCCTTGCTTGACCTATGAACTGTAACAATATTATACATGTTATTTTGCAGGCAGCTATAAAGCAGGCAGCTGTTGTGGTTCGCCAGCAGCAAGTATGGATCTTGGAGAGCGAGGACTCAGATAAGGGGCCTGTGTGTAATGCAGGGATGGGGCCAGGACCATCAGGGAGTGGAATGCTGCCTTTGGAGATTGTGGAGGCTGGCAGCAGTGATGAGGAGATCCCCGAGGAACCTGTGCCCAGTGCGTGTGCACACAGGGCTGTTTGAAGGAAAGATCAGCTGCAGCAGCACGGGCGACTCGGGAATAAGGCTGCAAGGTAATGACTCCTCCCTTAAGAGATAAATGCCATCTGAGTTCTTTGCAGGAAGCAAAGTTTTTGCACTCAAGCCTTGTGGACATTCGGAGTATCTTGGCTGGTGTTTGGAGACTCTTTGTGTTTGAAATATTTCTTAGTAACTTTATCTAGTATTCTTGGCAGCCTTGCACAACCTTGGCAAGGCTCGTTCTTATCAGAAACAATTAGTTTGAAACAGCCTTTTAACCGTGAAGGAACGGAATTCATAAAGAATCATTAAAAGGTTTTGCTGTTACCTCTGTTTTGTGTTTGTTTCCTTGGAACATGGTTTGGGTCAGAACAGCAGCCTTCTGATGTTTAAACTGTACTCCGCTATTTTTTACTACAGGTACTCTTTTGACAATCCACAGCCGACTCCGGAATTTTGGTCAGAAGTCATCACAGTCATGTGTTACCATGTGACTGAAGTCAAATTTACACTGGTTGTGAAGTGAATCAGTTGTTTGTTAAATGAACAATGTGGTTGTATGTGCAAATCTAGCTTATCCAATATGTGTTTTATGCTAGAAAATGGGGGGGGGGAGTCCCAAAAAGGGATTGTGTGATTACAAGCCTAAACAACCTGGGGAAGCAGTCAGGGTGAAAACCAATTGCCATTCCTAAGGACCAGGAAAACCACTGAAAAGCAGTGACACAGAATCTCAGGTTCCTTTACCTCTTTAAAGTGAAGCCCTCTTTTTTTTCTTGGTCAAACTGAAATATCTGGGCTGGTTCTCATGGGAAAGCGCAGATAACCAAGAACCAAGCCACGTGCAGTTTTATAAGTTTGCAACAGCACTTTAAAAAAAAAAGAATTCACATTTTGTTCAACTTACTTCTCAATAGCTCTGAGTTTAATATTATTTATATCCTTGAGAACATCCATCATATCAGGAATAGCTTTCTGAAGTTCAGCCTTATCTTTGATCTTTTCAGTCTTTATAGCCCGACGTTGTTTAATAAGCTGAACTGCCGAATTATGGGAATCAAAATCAGACTTTAACCCAAATGAAGGGGGCAGTGGTGGAGGTGGAGGTATGATTACGTTACAAAGAGAAGTAGGAGCTGGCATAAAAACCATTCCTGGCTGAGGGAAATCATTAGGAGTGTTTGATGAAGTCCCAGTGTCTGAACCTATTAAACAATTGAAGAGAGAGGTAATATTAAAACAGGCACCTGTAGTGTTGATGGATAAATGTAATAGTAGATAGTGACTGCTTATTTTAGAATAGTACTACGTCTGAAAACCAGAAAGCATGGATAATCAAAAAGGAGCTAATGAAATAAAAGAGAGAAAAATAAGACCACACACCACTGGTACTGATACTAATTAACCACAAAGATCATTAGATAATTTTGATCCCATCTCTTACCCCAGGCTACATATCTTTAACATTCTTATTAATAACAAAATACAAAATATGAGAATTCATTTTTTTCTCTGAAAAGAAATTTTCATGCTATCTGTTTAAAAACATTTCCTCAGTTTCGAAAAAAAAATTGTCAAGCAGCACATTGGGATCTAAGAAACCCAATCTCTTTTAAAAAATAAGTAGAAATAAATGTGCAATTCTTTAAATTCAACTCGAAGTCCCACCATCCCCGCTAGCCAGTAAGTTAATTAGATGTTTATGTTTAGAAAGAATCTGGGCTCCTCTTACTGTTGATGATAAAATGAGTAAATTTTAGGTGCAAACATAACCCGAAGCAATTATAAACAAGACAATTTTCTACATAAAAGTTGCCGTCAGATGGCAATATGACTTAATATCATTAGGAACAAGAGAAACACATAGAAACACATTCATTTGGATCCAGAAAGACAGACTTACAGGATTGATCATTTACTGCCCTGTTTGCTGCCAAAATTGCAGCAATCTGTTTACGAAGATGTGCTAATTCATTTTCAAGAACATGAATTTTTTCGAATGCATCTTCACCCTCAACAGTTGTTTTTTCACTTTTTTCTTTTGAAGAAATTGGCAAAGGAAGTACAGATGGAGTGGCAAACCCTCTCCGTTCCTCAAATCTAGAAAATATCAAGATACCACAGTGTAAATAAATATGAGCATTCGAAAGGCCAAGACATTTGGGATGAAGCAAACTCGCATGCCTAACACATAAACTGAAATGTCTACAACTCGATCATATATACACAGCAGTAGCACTGAATTCAGTAGGATTTACTCCAAATAATTGGCTATAAATAGCATTCCGAACAGAATAGTAAATATACTGTTTATAGCATCAGTGCTTCTGTGGTTTGCATTGCACTGATTTTTCAAAATCCATAAACTTATGACAATAAACGTAAAACAATTCCATTTCAAAAATACAGATACTTAATCAACAGTAAGAGTTAATTAAGATTAGCTATCTTATTTATTTAAGTCTTCTCAATTTCTTATAGCACTGGGTGCTCTATGTTACTATTTTTATTTTCTTAATTATGGCATCACTGATTATTGACTGAATAAAGAAATGATTAACTGATAGATATACCACTGAGAGAACATGCACCTGGAGAATCCATGGAGGGGAGTCTTGGCAGCACACAGCTCTCCCAGGGGGGAGGCAGTAAATTCCACCAGCGAGAAACCCAGATTAGGAGAATGTGCAATCCCAAAAGGAATGGGGAAGGAAGCCACATCCTAGAATCACTCAGGATAATTCTGTCAGGGTAGCGGATGATAGTTTTAGTTTGGCAAGATTCTTCCCGTTAGGTATAAGTAAAAACAGGATTGGAATAAATTGGATTTTACTGGGTCATCTTCGGGCTTGTACCTGACAATACTTGAAAAATGTCTAGTTGGTTTTACTTGCCTGAATTTAGTGCATAGATTTCTGTCTTCATCTACCATCCACAGGGCATCGGCAAGAGATGGTTGAACAGAATTAACGGTGCTGTATTGTTCCTCAAAAGACTTCAGACTTTGGACAAGCTAAAGCGTTAAAAAAAACACCCACTTTTTTAATAAACAGTTGTTTTTAATTATTAGCTTTCTAGCAGTAATCCAAAAGACACATATTTGTTCTAATACTATTATCCCTTTTCAACAGAAAAGAAGCAATTAAGGAGAAGATGAGACTGCAGAATCCCAGTTTCATTAGAACGAACCATGTTGCTATGCAAATACTGAATTTTATGATGTTAAAATTCAGAGCAGTTAAAATGGCGCAATGGTTAAAATGCAGTATTGCAGGCTACTTCTGCCGGCTGCCTGCAATTTGGCAGTTCGAATCTCACCAGATTCCAAGTTGACTCAGCCTGCCATCCTTCCAAGGTGGGTAAAATGAGGACCCAAATTGCTGGGGGCAATATGCTGATTCCGTGAACCACTTAGAGAAGGCTGTAAAGCACTGTGAAGCAGTATATAAGTCAAAGTGCTATTGCTATCTCATGGCACAGGTACAGGAATACCACGGTGATATTGCAGTGTTTACAGATACTAATTTGGGACTAAAATTACAGGGTAAGGAAAGTGGCTGAAAATCATGGCATCACAGGACAACACCTCTTAGGGATAGAAATTCTGGCATCTCTGGTTACCACTGTTAAACAAATCACCCCAGGTGGTTAGGCATGGACATCATGTGGCCGCCATTTGCAACCTCCTGCCAGTTTTACCATTGAACCAAAGATGCTTTTTCAAGAGGCAACTGGACTTTCTGATTTTTCTTTGAAGATGTTTTTATTCTCATCCAAGAAGCTTCTTCATCTCTGACTGGATGGTGAGGATGGTCAGAACTGAACAAGCTTCTTGGATGAAAAGTGAAACGTATTCAAAAGGAAAACCAGAAAGTCTACTTGCCTCTTGAAAAAGCACCTTTGGGACAATCATGACCTGGATGACTGAGACTCTCCATAGACACTTTATTACTGAACATACTTGTAGGAATCCAGTACATAAGGTCACAGATGGGGATCACATGACCACAGGACACTGCAACATCCCACATCATAATGGCAAGCTGGTTGCTGAATGTCTGGGTTGCAATCATAGGAGTTGTAGAAATACTACCACCATTGTAAGTACAAAAATGCATTGAAACGTCCACTGAATGAGTGGTCATTAAGCAAGGACCACCTGTTCTTTGTTATTTCTACCCCTCCTCATGTCCCCTGTAAATACCTCTGATCAGAGTAAACAAAAGAATTAAGATATATTGCTTATTATTAGTATTATTTAATAGTAATAATACCAATCCTTCAAAAATTTTAGCTCTTCCAAAATTCTACTCATCCATTTTTAGGTAAGGAGCTGCCTAAAGTAAGATTTGCTATATAACTTATAAAGATATTTAGGATACAATGACTAAAATCCTTATTAATCTTCCTCTGAATGAAAACTAAAATGACAAGATAATATGTTTTCCTATTTATTTTTAATAATGACAGTTGCAACATTTTTCAGCTGAAGTACAGTGTAATAGTAGCAGCACACAACAAAATATATATTACGTATCACAAATTTTAACAAACGGCATTCAAACATTATTCAAAGTAGCAAGAGGGAGTTAATAATTCATTCATTGTCTGAAATTCGGCTTTTGAAAATTATCTATTTTGATATTTCTATTATATATACACAAAAAATCTAGGTGACTATGACATATACATTTAAATCTCTTTTACTTATTATTTTACAATGGCCACTGTTATTTAAAATTTCTATTAATTCATGTGCAACTTTTTCCCAAATGATAAATTTATGTGATATGTTTTCTCTATTATTATATGTTATATATAGCAGCTGGCTGAGGAAATCTGAGAGTTGAAGTCTACAAGTCTTAAAGTGGCCAAGATTGGAGATCCCTGATATATAGCAATATTGAAAAATATATACTGTAAATTAACAATTTATTCATTTTAACTTTAACAAATAACACATATACCTGAAAGTGAGGTCTTGAAAAAGGAATTAATGTAAGACACGCTCCCAATCTACGAACTAAACTTCGAGTAGGTCCGTATCTTTTTCCTTCTGAAACCCAGGATATCTAAGGGTTGAGAAGCTTGTTGAAGTTAAATGGAAACATTTTTAAACGGAAAAAAAATCAAACAAAAGTTAATTATTTTAACTATATATCAACTAAATCTCGGTATATCTGGCATGGTGAGGAAAATATGACTTACAGTTATTTAAATTGTAGTGCAGAGTCTTCAATTTACGACCACAATTGAGCCCCAAAATTATGTTGATAAGTGAGACATTTGCTAAGTAAGTTTTGCCCCATTTTACGGTCTTTCTTGCCACAGTTGTTAAGTGAATCACTGTAGTTTTTAAGTTAGTAACATAACTGTAAAATGAATCTGGCTTCCCCATTGACTTTGCTTGTCAGAAGATCACAAAAGATGATCACATGACCCTGGGACACTGCAAACGTCATAAATGTGAATCAATTGACAAGTATCTGAATTTTAATCATATGACCATGGGGATGCTGTAAGGAAGCACCATTGTGACTTCAGTCACTAAATGAATTATTATAAGTGGAGGACTACCTGTATTTTTTAAATTATTAAAAATAAATAAATATTGCTTTATAAAAACTAGATTCAAGTTCTGCTTGCAAAAGACATTTTCATTCTTTGTGTCATGCCCTTGGTAGAGTCGGACTCTGAGGGAGAGGAGGAACAGCCAACAGGGAGTGGAGGTGTGGCTCCGGAGGTTGTGGAGGAGGCTGGGGAAGGGCAGAGGCCAGCTGGCCAGTCAGAGGAAGAACCAGGCCTTCCCCTCTTCATCCTAGGACACACAGGGAGGAACAGAGAAGGAAACAACTTGGCTTATGAGAGAGGAAGTGGACACAATTCCTCTCATTAGCTGCAGCTGGGGAGAATAGTATATAAGAGAGACTGTTACAACACAGTGTTGTCAGAAGCAAAGTGTGTTTTATTTTGGGCTGAAGTTATCTTGGTTGGCGTCCTTCCAACAGACTGCCTTGTTATCTCCTTGAAGTTGGTAATTACTTATCCTGGTCCGTTGTGGAATTTCCTTCATTGTAGTTTGTTTGAGATTTTTTATTTCACCTCTATCTGCTCATTAAGTTTGGACTGTATTGCTTTCTTCTGAAGACTATTTTTGAGTAAGTTTTATCTCCAACTGAGAATTATTGAACAGTGGGGCCAAGTTGAAGGCATTAAAGGACATTTATTTACGTTTGGGATTTTGTTATGTTTGTGTTATACTCCAGGTCATCACACTTTGAAACATAAAAGAAAGCCCTGCTAATGGAAAGGGATGGTAATTTATAGCCCTTGTGCCATGGTCATAGTATCCTAAAGGAACTTCCAGTCTTAGAAGGAAGTATTTGTGAGGTATAGATTGAAATATCTTCCCCACCTCTCTAATAGGGTAGAACTCTGTTATTGGAGATGCCAGTATGTTTTCGTTCCCTATTAATAGCAATGGCAAATGAAGAAAGCAAGTTATCTAAGGCTGAAACGTAATACGAAACAGAATGGATGCAATCAATATATAGATGTCTATATAACCTCAAGGAATAAAAGAGGGAAAAACATTGATAACCTCACCAAACAATTCCTGGAATTGATACATAATTCTTGGAAGCATGTTCTTGAAAAGGTATTTGAAGAAAGATGAGGTCCAATCATACGAACAAGGCCATTTAGATACAATTTACACCTTTGCAAGGCCTGAATTGGGAGAAAAATAATAGCAAAACAAGTGACTTAGTTCCAAATGGAAACTTCTGTTGGTTCAAGTTTTGTAACTTTAGAGCTGTGGGCTGCAAAGACACTTCAACAGATATGTTATTTAAACTAAAGAGATAAAAAAATCTAATTTAAAATTATTTATAGTAAAACACAGCAAGCAGCTGCTTCGAAACAATGTAAATATGTGCATACTAAGGTTGTAATTTCTCACTGCTTCTTGTTTTCATTTGCAGCATAATTAAAGTGAATTTAGCGTCAGGAATATATGACGCCTAATTCATAGCTATTAACAGCCAGTCAGCTTGGAAGATAAACCTCAAATCCCATTCCATCACAACTGGGACCAGAACTTCTATCACTAAGTCAAGTGCCCAATTTTACCCTTTTTTTTTTTTTTTTGCTGTGGTCATTAAGTGAATTTGGCTTCTCCCATTGACTTTGTCTTTCAGAAGCTAAAGAAAGTTGCAAATGGAGATCCCAGGAACCTGGGACACTGCAATTGTCATAAATACATGCAAGTTGCCAAGTACATGAATGTTGTTCATGTAACCATGGGGACACTGCTATGATTAAGTGCAAGGAGTGGTTGTAAGTCACTTTTCAGCACTGTTAGAACTTTGAACAGTCACTAAACAAATTGTTTTAAGTCAAGGACTACCTGTATAGAGATAGGCTGACATTTTCAGAAGACAAGAGAAAGAGAAGTGGTATGGAATGTAGACCCTTTAATATAAAATAATAATAATAATGCAAACACATATCTATCTGCTTACCAGTTCTGGGACCACACCATAATACTCCAGCAATTGCCGTAAGAGATTCAATAGCAGAGACATTTAAAGAATAGTGTAATCTATTAAGACAGACACAAATTAAAATTGATGAAAATGCCCAAAGAGTTCAGTAACCATTTCCTTTAGCTGCAAGGAAAAATATGTATATTAGATTAACCCTTACAATGTATTTAGTTTCATGCCAGTACCCAATTTACAATGCAAAGCAGCTTGTGATATTCTTTGGTGAATAACAGAAAGTAATGCTAGGAAAATAAAGACTGATTTAAAATTACGAAAAATAAGCTTGCCTACATACTGTATGGGTGCATTCTCCTATACAGTCTAACATTCATACAAACATAAGTCGTATTTCTTAATCTTTCCCAAAATGTTTGTGACAGACTCATGAGATACCTACTTTAGAAAAAAAAACTTCATGCAGTGGAAAAATTGGGTGGGAACCAATGGGAAACTATTCCAGAAATCATAAGAATCTTTGCTGAGTTTTCCAGTGCAATATATATACATTTATTGGTCAGGACAAAAATTGACTATGGCTTAAAATGAAAACGTGGAATTTTCAGAGGGGGGGAAACTGCAAAACCTTCCATGTCATTCTTCCTATGCTGGAATAAAACTTATGAATTGTGTTTGGATTACTCAACATGTCCATCTTTGGATGCAAGATGGTTGGTTTGGAATGATGCTTTGATCCAGTCTCTTAGATTCACTTTCTTAATATTATAAATAGTAACATTTTTAGATGTTCTTGAATGTATACAAGGTACCATCTTGTACAAGTTCAGTGGAGATCTATTTACCAAAATGTCAGATATCAACATATCATTAAAATAATTTACAAAGTATTTACATGGATGATACTTTACCATATTAGTTTTTAATTTTAATCACATTATTTGATATTTTGTATTTTATTCACATAACATATCAGAATTTTACTTATGAGTTTGATAAAATAAAAATTCAGATAGTCACAAAATAGTAGAAAAGAGATATAGAATACTAATTCTTTGCTGCTATCTGGAAGCCATTCAGATTTTTACATCCCAGATTTAATAGCACCAAACATATCTGAATTAGAAGTTTCCCATTCGATCCTTTCACAAACATAAATATCATTTTTGTTCTCTGTATAACATTTACTTTTTTTCTTCTTGACATGAAAAATATCAGGTTTACAAAAAAACCTATTTATTTATAGTGTTTATATAATTATTTAAATAAATTTAAAATTTATACAAAAATGTTTTACAATAAATGTCTTCATATTCTACCCAAACACTATCTCACAAAGTCAGGTAGCAACCAAATTAAAAACAGGCTTAAACGTGACTCCAACGGGAGTTTTAAATTCTAGGTCTTCACTCGAAATGATAAAATCAAAATACCCAGATATATACACTTCCGATGTCTATGGAGATTGCCCCAAACGTGCTTTTTTTCCAAGTGGCAACTGGACTTTCTGGTTTTTCGTCGAAAACGTTTCGCTTCTCATACAAGAAGTTTCTTCGGCTCTCAAGTCAGAGTTTGCGACTTGGAAAAAAAAGCACATTTAGGATACACTTCCGATGAGAACAAACATGAAATAGTGTATTTTGAAGACAGACAATATGAATATGGATTAGTTTCGCATTGCTCCATTCGCACTAATACGGCCACTCCCAAAGCATTTTGAACCGGGATTTAAGAACCGTTCTTCAGTAAGGCTAACTTGTAACTGGATTTGACCAGTGGGATTATCTTTATACTAAAATTCACTTTAGCCACATGCGGATAAAACAAACAAGCGGGGCGAGGGTGCAAGCTGGCCAAGACGCGAGCCGTCCGGGACCCACCGTGGACGGAGACTTCGGATCTGCCAGCTCGTCGAAGAACCGCGGGATACTGACGAACCCCACCAGGAGTGGCGCGAACCTTTTCGCTGGAACCCCTGCGGGAGCGCCGCGCCAGACTCCCCCCGTCGGTTCTTTACCCGAAACCTCCTACAAGGAAAGCGGCCAGAGAAGGTAAGCAGACGCGAGCTTCCCCTCCGCGACAATCAAAAGTTGGCACCCTTTTTCTTGATTGGCGAGATTGGGAGCGCGAGTGATTCGCTGTAGCCAATCAGGAAGGAGCAGGGAAGCCATCTGACGCTCCAACCAATCCCAGAGCTCACTTTTTGTTCATAGATCTATGCGTGAGGGAAGAAAAATAAAAATGGACCGGTTCGGGGTCGGAATGAAAGTGTCTTTAATTAAGCAGGCTCACGGGATCTCCGTGATTTCCGATGCAGAAGCGAAACCGTAACTTTCCTAAACAGGGGGAGAAAGTCGGTTGCTAAATAAGAACGGGCCATATCTATTGCTCGGCCTTGCAGAAGGCATTTGACTTAGTGTCGGCCATTTGATCCGCCGCATGTCGCTCGTGTTGCGCTGCACCCACTGAACCGCGTCGCTCCCTCACCCTCACCCCCTCCTTTGCCAACCTCCTTTGAAGATCAAGCGTTTTCTTGCTCTCCTGCTTCCGATGTCAACGAGATCGGGAGCGAGGCCCGTGTTCAACTAAATTCATTGATGACCGGAAAGAAAAATCGGCTTTGCTCTACGAGCTATATTGCTTCTACTGCTAATGGTTTATTGTTGATTTACGTGATCTTGACTGCAAGAATATACCAAGTTTAGATAACTACAGTCTCGCTGAACGTTTTGATATGCATTGCTACCGTAGTCATCTTTTTTTTCCATCTGAAGAAAAGTTCTTTTTTTTTTTTGCAATGAAAATAACATTTCTTTAACGTCCATCATTGTTTACTGACAAAAGTTATTGTACATTTGCTGATAGCACTTTTAAATGAAGCAGAGTATTAAGCACAATTTTCTGGAAACGTTATGAAAGTAGTCTTGTGCCAGTATTGTCTTTTGGGTATTTTTCCACATTATATGAATATGAATGCATTCATTGTTGCATTCTCTGCATCTCCAAAGCAGGAGGATGGAACATTGCCTACATCTGGCTTTGAATGATATATGGACCCAAACTTTAGCTTATATTGTGATTTATCCTAGGACACTTTCAGGACATGATTCTTGCTTGCCAATGCTTATTAAAAGGGTGTGGGGTATGGTGAGTGTATAGATTTTTGGCATATTTTCTTATATAAGTACATCCTATTTTAAAATTTGGAATCTTGATTGCTATCACTAGAATAAATTTCCTTTGTGCAATCTGAGCTGCCTTAAATATATTAATTCCTACTATCCAACCAACTTTGTTGTTCCAGATGCCAGGATTTCCCTCTATACCATATACAGGGCCCTACTGATAGATCTTTAAAAATGTTTTTTTCAGGCTCAGAATATGCATACTACCTATGCTTCTACTCAAGATCTTAGAATTATAGTCAATTGCAACTCCCTAAATATGGCACTATAAAACACATAACCCTTTTGTTTTGTTTGCTGGTTTGATGTGCATAAATACTTCCCCCTTCTTTATGTGACTGCTTGGCAGACAGTACAAGTTCATCATTTCCTATTTTTCTGCTTTACCCAGCCCTTTATTTTAGAGTCAAAAGAAATTACCTTTTCAGATACTTTGCTAGGCAATATAAGCCCATCTATTCTTCTATGTGTTTGGTTGTTGTTTTTTTACTATTTTGTGTAATTGATTTTTTTTCCTGATTAAAACAAACAATAACAAAAAGCCCAGTATCTTTTATAGCAACTTACTCTGAAGTTTGGATGAGGAAGAACGAACTAAGCTTCAACCCTAGCAGGTTGATGTGGGTATTTGAGACTTCTAGTGTAAATTCTTTCATCTTTGGCCCTCGATGTTTGATAGGCAGATGACAGCTGTGTTCAGGAGGGTCTTTCACACTAATCTTGTTTCATCAGTTGTATCCTTTCTCAGACTGAGGCTCTTCTTATTGCAATGTGTAGAAAGGGTTGCTTTGATAATCATTTGAAAGATGCCAGTGGTTCCACAGCTGCATGAGAATTGGGCAGGTTGTCCCATGGACACCCATGCTTCATGAACTGCACTGGTTCTGTTTGGCTTCTGGTTGGATTACAATTCAAGGAACCAACTACCACTTTTAAAACCCTATTTGGTATAAAGTGTAGCTAATTAAAGGACATGTGTCCTATGGTTTCTGCCCACTTTATAACATGATACAGTTGGCAACTTCCAGTTCCATCAATTACAGATATCTATAGTAAGGCACAGGTGGTGGGCCTTCTCTGCACCCCCCCATCTTGAGATTCATGTTTCTACCTTATCAGCCCTTAAAATAGCATTAAAAACATTACATTTCTTCCAGTTTTAGAGTTGTAGTTAAAGTCAAGGTACTGGGGTGGAAGTTTATCTGTTATTGGGGGAGATAATTAGTCGCTGAACTGTCTAAATTGCATTATCCTCATTTTTTTTAAAAAAATAATGTCAATATTTGTTAATCTAGACGAAATTGTTGGGTCTGAACAACCGAGAAATCTTATTAAAAATAAATGAAATTGTAAAAAACTATTTTAACAATAATGAATATTAACTGAGTTCACATAATGCAGGGGGTGTCATGATGTTGTCACATGACATTTCAGGACTTTTCCCCCCTTCATTAAACCGGGCGTGGGGATGGCCAGCGCGTGATGCATCCAGCCTGTGGGCCACGCGTTTGACAGCCCTGAGATGGTACAATAAACCAATTAATTTCAGGCTATGCATAAGCCTAATTATTGTGGTCAGTAAAGCTTACTTTTTGGCTTAATGTTGTGAACCAGGTCGTGAAATCATAGATTATCACCTAACCCTCAATAACACTCTCCTATTAACCTATGCAGTGTCTATATGCCACTATGAAAACTAAACTTTTTAGTAAAGTTTAAACCCAATGATATTTATTTATGTTGGTAACCAAATATGCCAGAAAGGGATTCCAGGTATGCAAAAAATTTTGTTTCGAACCATTTTGAACATAAGATATTACAAAAAATCCCATTATGATGAAACTCTTCCAAAGGGCTTGAGAAACGCTGTTTTGTGTTTGAAGCAACTTAAACCCAAATGTTGCATACATCCCTAATCCAAAGACCTTAGTGGTGAACTAAAATTATTCACGACAACATGAAACAGAATACTTCATTAGCTAAATATTCTGTCACTTGATATACATTATCTTCTCTCTTAATACTCAGAAATTTTATTTATAGCATGCTAATAGCTACAAAGAAGTCACAAAAAGGAGGCAGCACCCACAATGAATGCTGTTTCCAAAACAATTCCAACTACAAAGATTTATAAAAATGATTACATTTTAAAAAAATTTTACAAACAAGCCAAATTTTGCAAAATAATGTTGATAATAAGTTTTGTCAAATACTTTTGCAGCATTAAGATTGATCATTCCTTTCCCTATTCTGTCAATTATAGGTACATATGTAGATTTAAAGTCACAAGGAAGGAACACTTTGGGGGGCATGGGAAACATTGAAAATTTGGATAATGTGCTGGGGGAGGGGCCTAAAAGAATTGTAGTGGTGGGCCAGTGACAAACTATTTCCAGGATCTCTCTCAGTTGCTCACCAGCCTAATGGGAATTTTGGGAGATCGAAAAGCATTGCTGAAAATAAATGCTACACACTGAGCTCTATAAATATGTATCCACACACTAACTCATCCCTCCAACTGAGGTGAGGCAGAAACTCCATTGGTCACCAAGGAAGTGATAGATATTTTGATGCTTACAAGTACCATTGCAATCCAGTTAGCCCTGTCTAATTTGCAATCTATTTTCATGTGTGTTTTCAGGTGGCCATTACAGTGGCAATGCTACTAATCTGTCATAATAGATCCATTTTGATGTAGATATAATTATCAATTTCGGTGTACTTCAAACTGTCATAAGGTAAGTCTCAACTTGTAACTGACACTTAGTTTAATATCTGATAGAAAGGCTTAATAAAAATTCTGCTTCAAGTGGCTTGAAAACCTAGAGGCTGAAATGGTAGACATTAATAAGTTAAAAGGGCAAGTCTGGTTTAGTGTAAATTAGCTTGTTTCTTACAGGTTATCCAAATGGCACCATCAGTACAGGAATTGTTCAAGTTTCTACTTCAAGACTTCAATAAAAGTTTAAAATACATGTGATTAGAAAAAAAGGTTAAATTGTAATTTTTAAAATTGTAATTTCTAGTTCATACGATTCTGGTTTTAATCTAGTTCATTCTTTTCCTTCATGTTTTCAGGTATAGCAGAGATATAAAGCTTCTGTAATATTCAACTGTAATAACAAGCTCATTTCCTTTTAAATTTTCACATCTTTATTCCACTGAGGACTGAAAACACGACTGAGATATCCCATAGTTTAGGTTATTTTGCTAAAGAAAGCCCACAGAAATATTATTTTACAAATTGAGGGAAATGTTGATGCAATAATAGCTGAATCAATATTGCCGTAAATTTGTGACCAATATTTTTCACCAGATGCCAATGAAACTTCATCCAATACTCTTGCATAACAACTCCATTTCACATTCATTATATACACTTTAAATTTTATAAATGAATAGCATCCTGTGTTTTACATAAGACTATGTCTATTAGGCATATGAACACTGAAACAATACACTCAAAGCATGCTTGTGTTAAAGGTAACTTTTCACTACAATTTACCTTTCTGTTGTACGCCTAAACGTTTGGAATGTAGGATAGATCTTCTCACAAGAATAGAATATGCAGGTCAAACTACTTTTAGTGCTGTTACACAAATAGTTGAAGCATTTCCCCATTAGAAGTAAGATTATGTGGACGGAGAAACGTAGCACCTGTTAAGCTACAGCTCTACTTGTCAGATCTAGATCTGTTCAGAAGAGAACGCCCATCGTTTTCTAGAAATGTGAATGTATGAGAAAATTAATAAGATCCCCAAAGTACTTTTATATCCTACTTAAACTCATTTTACTGGGATACTCTAATTCTCAAACCTATCCAAGAACAAG